TCTCTCTCTCTCTCTCTCTCTCTCTCTCTCTCTCTCTCTCTCTCTCTCTCTCTCTCTCTCTCGATGCGGGCAGTCCGTCGCCGCGCATCCCAAAGCCCTCACAGAGTCGTCACCCCCCTTAGCCTGAGCGTGCAAGCCAGGTTCGCCCACGTGCCACAGTCCTTCGCGGCCACGCGTCAACCCCGCGCACCCAGCACCAGCTCGTCAGATCGCCCAACTCTTTACTCACCGTCTTTCTGCACATTAGCCGATCCTCTCCACCGCGCTAACTCCCAAGTAGATTAGAGAGTGAATTAATCGCGCTTGCGGAATTTATAGCTTGCTAATCAGCGTGCGATAGTCGTGATTGCCAGAGGAACGGGAAAGAAGGGAGAAAGGAAGTGCCTACGAGTACATGACCGGGCCGCGGCGTGGGAGACGTAGCCTCACTCGATGCTTCGATCCAACCATGCAACGATCCGGCCAATGAGATAGGATGCAAAGTGCGAGTGTAGTGACGCGGGAAGGGAATTTCAAGAACGGGGAAGATTACAGTTTACAAGAAGAGGTTACAATTGAGATAAGAATTTAGGCGCGGCAAGAACAGAGCGCAGGTCCTTGTGCAGCAAAGTGCGAGCGCAAACAAAAAGGCGGTATGCAGCTACGGGCAAACATCCCGACGCACCCAATTTCCTAGTCTAATTAAAGTCCTAATTACAAAAAGAAATTCCGAGAGCCCGCATGGGCTCGTTCTAAATTCGAAAATTTTCGACGGAATTACCCGCGCGATTATCGCGCCAAAAAGACTGACGCCTTATTTGAAAACAAAAGGAAACAAAAGAGAAAGAGAAAGAGGCCATAGCCGAAATTGTTTCCCCCCCGCCCCCCGCGCTCGCTAAGGCGAGGGCCTACTGTCCCAAGGTCCATACTAACCGCCACTGTCTCTTCCCGGAGGACCAAGGAGAAAACTTCGAAAAATCAAGAAAGAGGGACCGCCATGCAATTTATCCCCGATCCCTCTGTGCACCCCCAACCCCAGTTGCGCAAAAGATGGCGCCTTACAGAAAGTAGTTCGTCACAAGCCTGCCTCACCATTCCCCCAACCCCAGCTTCATTATTCCCCCAAACTCCCTCCCTTTATTTGCTAAATGAGTCATTTTATCTCTCTGAATCAATAATGTTGTAGATCTGTAGCCTGAGCAGAGTCGTTGAGCAGTTGAGGTGATAATGTGTACTGTTTGTCTGACACTGTGGTCCTGTCTGTGTCCGGGACCACATTAGCCCCTTTGCCTCCCTAACATCAGGTGTCAATGTTTGGTCTCATTTTGTCTCAATCTTGGGTGCCTTCTTCATGAGGATGGACCAGCTGGCACTTTCTAGTGGCGGGGGCAGTGTTCCTTGACTTTCCTTCTTTGCCATTGGTACTCCTTTCCAAAATCTGCACCTGGCTGTGACGCCCAACCTCACGCCCGGCGCGGCTTCCTGATCGGAGTGGGATGTGGGCCTGGAAGTGCGAAAAGGGGTGTGCCAAGGATTTTTGGGGGTTTGGGGTGGAGTCTCAGGTCGAAACTGAGATCTCTTGTGGCAAGATTTCAGGTGCATAGGCGCAATGAGGCTAAGGGACGGGTTACCTTCGGTCTGATGGCGGTCGATGTCGCGCAGCATAGGGCAGATGGCATGCGCGGTGCATCTTGGACCGTCCGACCCGCCTATTTCAGTGACGACGGTTCGGGGGAGGTCCGTCCGCGGGGCTTGTGGGGGACATAGCCACTCTCTACGCATCGATCGATCATGCAGCCCGCGGGCCAACTAGACACATCAAAGAAGAAAGAGGGCGGGAAAAATGAAGCTTAAGAAGAAAGATATAGTTACAAGGGCGTCCCGCCCAAAATTACAGTTACGCGCAAGATTAAGGGCGTCGACTAATCAGAGCTCCGTTGCAGCCGCAAGAAGAAACGCACGAGCAAAGAGCACCTCGCGGCAAAAGAAATTCTGAAGTCCTGAATTCCTATTTTTCTATTTCCCTATTTACGGAGAAATACAAAAAGAACTGTATTAAAGCACAAATCCCGAAAAAAAAGTCCGAAATTCCGAGAGTCATCGAGGGTTCGATAAGATTCCAAAAAAAAGAAATTTAAAAAGAAAGAAGCAAAAACTCCTGCGCAATTACCGCGCCGAAAACGCGACAGCAGAACAAGAAGGAAGCGACGTAAAACATTATTAATCGCGCCCCTGTTGGCGCGCCAGCCATTCAATCGACCATCTCGGGATTCGCCCATCCCTAGCCCCAGCCATCCAAAAGGAAGCGACGTAAAAAGAAGATCAAACAAGGACACGGATGCAATTTCCCGTCGATCCCATCTCCCGTAATTGGCCCAACCTTCCCATCTTAGGACCCCTCATTGTCATCGCGCCGAAAGTCGCACGGCACAGAAAGTGGTTCGTCACATATGTGATGCCCAGGGGGTTCCAATCTTAAGCAAGCTCCCGCTTGCTTGACATTACGACACGTGTCGATCTTTCTAAACGATCAACAACGCGAAGCTTTCTACGTGCCACTTACCGTGTGAAAGAGTGTGGAAGTCATCAAGTGTGGCGTACGTGGCTCTCTCCTACAAATTCCCCAGGAAGGGCTCTATCCATCGGAGGAGGGGATCACTCATGCCATCTTTGCGACACGTGCCATGCAATCGCCCAACAGTAACTAGCATGGAGAGGAAAGGGAAGGTGGTACATGGGGGCGTGTTGAGGGGGTGGGTCAGTTAGGAGTGGGGGTAGGAAGCTTTCCATTCCCACGACTGTCACCGAAATCTCCTAATATCGGACGATCCAATGGAACTTGAAGCGAGGGAAGCGGGTACCGCCATGGGGGAGAGACGTGAGACAGTCGGGGTAGAGGGTTGCAAAGGTGCGGAGGAGGGCCGCCCGGAATCAATCATGGTTTTCGCACGCGGGGATAGTCCCCGTGATCATGCAATAGACCTCGATCATGTTGTGGCCTCGCCACGCAGCACTGAAGATAAGGACATGGAGGCAAAAGACAGGGGTGGCATACCGAGTAGAAGGGTGCGGGTGTATCGTGACAGCGAGGCGGGTAGCGTAGAAGTGGCGGAAGGTGTCGGTGGGGAAGGGGTTGTGGGGGAGAGAGACCGGGATGGTAATCTGGCGGAGGGTGAGGTAATCAAGGGGACGGTGGGATAACAACCGGGGACAAAGCCCGATGCCCCGCATCGACTCGTGTTCGAACTGGGGGACGGGGGGATGGGGAGGGGGATCGGCTCCGTCGCCTGGGCGCCGGTGCGCTCGAAGCCTCGGCAACAGGGTCCCCATCGTCGTTCTTGGGTGGCTCGGGATCCTTAGTCGGGTCGTTCGGGATCGGCAGATCCGCACCACTCACGTACTCTAGCGGCTGCTTCCCGGCCTCGATCTCTTCTCTTCGTCATGCTACCGCCTCGGGATCCTCCTCCTGAGCTTTTGCGCGATCCGCCTCCTCACCCAGAGTCTCCCACTCAGATCCTTCCTCTTCTTCCAAATGATCTTCTTCTTCTTCTTCTTCTTCGCTCTCCGTCCCCGATTCTTCCTCACTGTACTCCTGTAGCTTCCTTCCTCCTCCGTGGTTTCTTCTTTGCTTTCGTCTTCCACCTCCGCTTCCTCAGCTACCGCTTCCTCTTCCGCCGCTGTTCGAGGCTGAAAGAAAAGGATGTCGATGATCCCCCGGGGGTTCAGATACTTCGCACGCAATGGGTAGCTGTCACCTTCCGTTCGATCCTCTAAGCAGGCTGACCACTGCAAATACGGAGTTAATCTTCGCGAAAGAACGTGCGGCATTGGGCTCTCGTCACACTGTGATATAATGTCGAGGGGGAGGTCGTCGACCAGCTGCGCAAAGGGGATCGTGAGTTCCCACATGATCGTCTGCCGATGGCCTGGCTCTACTGCCCCGAAGACGAATCCGAGGAGATCTCCTTCCACCTCTGTTCTCCAGGCCTGGATAATTAGCAGCTCCACGTTCTCCCTTGCGGCGCGATGCTCACTGTCCCATGTCCACGTCAGCTCCACTTCGACCAGACACAGCGAAAGAGTGAGGTAGTGTTCAGACCAGATTTCCTAGTGTCTTGGCTCGATGAGGGGAACGGCAAGAGGCTGGATACAGAAAGAAAGACGGGGATGGAGAGCAGATTGCCAGAAAGTGGGGAAGAGAGAGGGGAGGGTAAAGGTGGAGAACTGGGACCGGTTCATTGAGGGCACAGGAAGGGGACGAGCTCTGGGAGAGCCAACGCCGGCTCGCGTCGGGACGTGCGGAGCCCGCCGACGTCGACGCTGTTGGTGACGACGAGGTTGTCGCCGTGCCGCACAAGCCACCGACTCCACTCCAGTGCTAACTGTTCACCCCACTCTCTTAGCGACGTCCGGATGGTCGTATGCCTTGTAGGATCCAGCGCGCTGATGTCTCCACTAAAGATGACGACGGTAGACACGTGGCTGACCCCTGGCGCCGAAAGCCCTCGATAAGCCGATGCCTCGGCCAACACAAGTGTCCGGCTATGCGCCGCAAAATGGAACTCTGCTGCCGCATACACCCCAGTGGTGCTGAAGAACTGTGCAAATCGGAGAAAATCCAGACTGATTCGTGGATGATGGACTTGTCTGATTGCCGAAATATCGCCACGTGGTGCCAACATGTGCTCGCCAAGAACCTGCTCGGTGGAAAAACTCATGGCGATGGCGACGGGGACGGAGTATCGGCAGGGGAGCGAGACAGAGAAGGAGAGGGCGATAAGCAGTCATCGTCCTCTTCCGTGCCAGAGGAGGGGGCGAACGAAGGTGGAGATGGAGAGGAAGGGAGAGGCCGCAGATAGGACACGTGGCGAGTGATTGGGCGGCCAGATTGGTTGTCGGAGACCTCAGGCACGAGCCGCACCGTGTTCACTCCGTTCGGACCACGCTCGACTACGCGAAATCGCCCGAAGAATCGTGGCGCTAGCTTACCCTGGCGAGCACATTTCCTCACCTTCACGATGTCCCCTATCTTATAATGGGCCGTGGTCCCGCATTCCCATTCCGAGCCGCGTAACTATGGACCTGTCGGTCATGGGCCAACTCAATCATTTTCTGGCGCTTTCGGGCTAATCAGGGAAGAGACCACTCCATCAGCTCTAGGTGCCGCTTGGCCATGTCTCGAACCGTGGCCCTCGTGGGCCGTCGGTTCAACGAAGATTTGTTTGGGAGGCTCGGTATCGAAACGCAAGCCACACTATTGGTCCGTAATTGAAAAGGGCTAAGGCCCATTGATTCGTGAGGAGTCCCCCGATGGACCGCCACGATGTGATCCACGATGTCAGGCCAGGGTCTCGGATCCCGTGCCCCGATGTTTCGTCGTAGTGTAGTCTTAATCACCCTATTTGCGTTATCTACCAACCCGTTAAACTGTGACATGTGGGGTGCAGTATTCCGAATGGTGACGCCGTGTATGACAAGATTTCTCAAAACTTCCCCTCTGAATTCCACCCCATTATCGGTCAGGATCTCCTCTGTGTCCTGATGCATTCCTAGGAAACAGTTGACGTATCGTGCGATTTCAGCCACCTGTCGCGTACGACACAGATATGCCTCGATCCATTTCAAGAAGTGGTCTATGAATACCAGTAGGATTGAATACTCACAGCTATTAGGTCCAGGGGGTACTACAATATCGGTAGTGTCCATACTAACCCTCTGAAAGGGCCGTTCGACTACCGTCGGCACTATCGACCTTGGTGGTTGAATCGGCGTTTTGTCGGCAATGCAGACTTGACAGTGCTGGACGATGAATTTAACATTGTCACGAATGTTGGACCAATACCACTCGTTTTTGTCGATTGCCGCCTTCGTAATTCGGACGGCAAAATGGGCTGCGGTTTCCTCATGTGTCGTCTTAACCCAATTATACCTCATGAACGGATGCGGCACTATCATCCAAATCCCGCTACCATCTGTCTTCCATTTCTCTAACCGACCCTCGTTCCAGCGATAGTCCCGAGCCCTTTCATTGGCCCTCCTCCGGTCCTCCTTAGTGAAGTCCTGGAGGGGGTTACCTACGAAGGTGGCAATTAAAGCAATATTCGTCCATACCTCAACCCTTCTAATTTTTGGGTCTTTTCTAACCCTTCTGACGTGGCGCCGAGAAATCGAGACTCAGTCGGGATCTTATCAACTCGACACAAGGGGCACAACCAAGGCTTGTTGCCATTTCGATACTGAATGCAAGAGTCATGGGCTCGCGCGACACACTGCCGACAATCTACCCACTCGACATATCCTTTCCCCGTAGGGTGCATAGGGACGGAGGCATGGGCTTCGCAAAAATAGCAAAATTTGTCGGGAAGAGAGAGAAGAGATGAGGTGAGAGGGGAGAGAGGGGTGTTGTAGGATTACCTCCGTCCCCCATTGCCACTTGTCTGGTTTTTGCCACGTGGAAGGACTGCCACTTGTCCGTACTTGGGTTCGTTCGTCGATTCGGGCTCCTTGCATGGAATGATTTCTTAGCCTTTAGGTACCTTAGCTGGTCGATGCAGTCGTGTCAACCAGTTGGCGTTCCCGTGCCTCTCCGTCTTTTGATAGACAATGTCGAAATTGTACTCATGTAGGCGTACCGCCCAACACCCAATCATCCCGGTGTAGTTAGTGAGCCTTTTGAGAGCCAGCAATGGCTCGTGGTAAGTCACAAGAAGAAACTTATGTCCGTAAAGATACGGATGGAAGTGCTGGATTCCCCAGACCACGGCGTAACATTCGCCTTACGGGGCCGAATCGTTCCTCCGCTCGTCTGACACCGTGTGTGACGTGTATTCGATGACGTGTTCTCAGCTGTCGTTCCCCTTTTGCGCAAGAATGGCGGAAATTGCCTCCGGTTGCCAGTCCGTAATGAGAACGAACTGCTTCGTAGGGTCCGGCCGGATCAAAATAGGTGTTGTGGCCAGGGCGTCCTTGAGGGTGGCGAAAGCCTGCTCGCACTCGGCGTCCCAATTGAGAGGCTGGTCTTTCCGCAGCAAGTTCGTCAGGGGCCTTGTTATCGTGGCAAAGCCCTTGATGAAACGACAATAGTACGACGCCAGTCCCAAGAAGGCTCGAACCTGCGTCAGTGATGTGGGAACGGGGGCATCCTTCACTGCTGCGACCTTTCTTGAATCTAGCTGCAGTCCTCCCCGCGTCACCACGTAGCCTAAGAATGAGATCTCTGATAAGAAAAACTCGCTCTTCTCGAGCGCAATCTTGAACCTAGCGTCTCTCAGAGCTCCCAGTGTCCACTCGATATGTTGTGCGTGCCCGTGATAGGTTTTCGAGTAGACTAAGATGTCGTCCATGTACACGATGACGCAGAAGTTGATCATTCCTTGAGTCAGCCGTGTCTTGTTGTCAAAGTTCTAAAACGTCATATTCATAGTCCGTTGAAACGTGGCAGGCGCGTTGCAAATCCCCGACGGACACCGGACCCACTGCCACGTGCCCTCAAACAATACGAAGGCCATTTTCGGTCGGTCTTCCTCCTTAACCAGAATATGATGGAAGTCGTGACGGATATCAAATTTACTAAAATAATTAGCACACCCAATTGCATCCAGCAAATCATCAATCCGGGGAAGGGGATATACATCTTTGATCGTGATATCATTCAGTTTCCGATAATCGATGCAAATGCGAATCGACCCATTCTTCTTCGACACTAATACTATCGGGAATGACCATGGTCCAGTGGCGGGTTCGATCCAACCATTAGCTTCGAACTCCCGAATCCGCTGAAGCGCCGTTTTCCGCTCCACTAGGGAATATCTGTAAGGTTTACAGTGGATCGGGGGGTGGTTTCCGATTTGAATCTCGTGCTGTATGACCAGTGACAGTCCAATGTCTATGTCTGTCACGCTAACCGCTCCCTGGTATTCCTTTAGGATGTCCGCGATGAGGTGGTGGATCTCGTCGTGTACATAGTGGGGCACGGGCAATTCGTACGACTGGTTCCATATCCGCACATCGATTTGTTTCGTACTTACCTGCCTAGTGGGTTCAGGCGGGGGTGCGAAAATAAACGAGT